TACAGCCCCCAAAGTTGTGAAACTGGAATGCCCAATCATACTCTGCTGGTAAATTTAAGCTCTTTTCAGAAAGCAGTATGTCAATTCTTAGAAAAGGCAACCATTAAAATGTTTATGGCTTGTAGCCCAGTAATTTCATTCAGGAGTAGGGGGTGGGGGTGGTGGACCAGGGTTACCCTGCAACCTTTCTGTTCCACGCCTCGGCTTCTTCCCTGGGAGAGAGTCACACAGGGTCCCAGAGCATCCATATAAGGCTAGCTATAAGGGAAAAAGGCAGGAACTTTATGATCCAACCAGCCAGTGGGGACGTCAATCAACTGGCAACGGAGCACCCATTTGGTGAAGTACCATCCAGCATTTTAAAAGGTAAGTGAGGGATTTGTAAACATCAGCCTGGGAAGTTCTCTAAGGCATTATAAACAATATAAATATTGTAGATGCCCAATGAAGAAGCCCAATGTAGAATAGCATCTAGGAGAGTTCTATGTATTTGCACGGACATCTCTCTGCCCTTCAGAAACTGGGCTCAGTCAGGACTCAATAGACCTTGTCTGTCATCTGTGCCTCTGTGCTTACTTCAGGTCTACGCCCCCCAAACCCAGTGCTCATTTTTGTCCGAAAGCAGTCCCAAACAGGGTGCCCACCCTACCCCACCACCTTGGGGCTTCCTTCCCACAAGACGTCAGTGACATCAGCATCATCTCTCACCTTTTCCAGGACACAGAACGCTCAATAGGTCAGTTGCAATCATGCGTGCATGTGGGGGTGGGGGTGGGGGCGTCCCAAGCTGGCTCTTCCAGCACCTATGCCCCTCCTTCCCATAGATGCTCTCCCCTCACCCTCCTCCAGCCCTCCCCCCACAGGAGGGACAAGAGGGACAGTCACACAGAGACACAAAGCCCAGGCACCAACCTCTGCTGACCCAGGGAGGCCCCACCTGCCTGTCCCCATTCCCACCAGCCCCCCCTCCCCCTCAGACACCTCCGGGGGACCTGACCTGAGATGAAGCCTCCGTGGGGCGGCAGTGCCCTGCGTGCCCCAGCTCAGTTCTTGTTGAATGGGTGAATGGGTGAATGGGTCCCACGGCCCCAACGGCAGGGAGGGGGAGCCCCACTAGCCCATCAGCCAACACCCCCATCTGCGGAAATTTGTAGATTCCATCCCCGCCCCCACACTCTTGTCACCTATGCCCACTCACTCCAGTTGGGAGGGGATGGTGGGATGAGGAGCATCCCTGTCCCCTCTGCACCCAGTCTTGTTCGGGGCTCAGGGTAAAGGGCAGGAAGGCGGTGGCTCCGCGTGGCCGGAGCTGCCCCTGCCCGGGCTCCAGTCGTCCCTTACCTGCGGGACGGCTCGGAGCGCCCCGAGGAGCAGCAGCAGTCCCAGCGCTACACAGAGGGCGCGCATCGTGCGCCGGGGCAGCGCCGGGCTCAGCCGAGTGCCCTCGCCCGGAGCCTGGGGACCGCGGGCGCCCACGTGCGCTCCCGGGAGCTCAGAGGCGCGCTGCGCAGCCGAGCGGTCTCCGCGGAACCGGCGCCCTCGCCGCGCTGGGCACCGAGCGCACGTAGCAAATGGAGTCCCTTCAAAGTGACTGCGCCTGCCTTCCCGGAGGGTTTGGCCTCAGCTCTTGCTTCCCCCACCCCCCGGGGTTCATTGGGTACCCCAGAGGCTTCCAGGAACCCTACTAATAGCAACTAGGGCGGGGGGAGGGGGAGGAGGATGAAAAAACGTGCCGAGATGACTATCGTGCTCTGAATAGCCCAGCTGGGGTGAGACGCAGCCCAGCACGCAGACAGGGGGCAGCTCAAAGGAGACCAGGAAACCCCAATGGACCGCAAAGTCTCCACCCCAGCCCCACCCCCACGGAAAGACAGGACCTGAGCAGATTCCTGACCTTCCCCCTGGATCGACTGGAGTTAGCAGATTCAGAAACCGCCGCCTGTGGCCGGTGGAGCGCTGGGCACTCTCGAGCCACCGAGAGACTGGGGGACACGCTGCGTCCACCTGCGCTCCCTGGAGCTCAGAGCCCGCTGGGGATGGGAGTTGCTCGTGGAACCCCGGCGCACTTTGTGAATGAAGTTCCTGATCCAAAGGTGGGGCGGGGCGGAATGCAGGACAGGTTTTCAATTGATCACGACCCCAGACTTTCTGGGACCGTGGAGGCTGGTGAATCTCTAAAAGGAGAGCGCGGAAGCAACCTTTAAACCAAAAATCTCCACCACCACCCCACCACGTGCCTTCTGAAAACCAAACAGCAGTTTTGCCTAACGGAGTTAAAAAGAAAAAGGCCTGAAGGTCCGCCTTGTGCCTTAAGCTTTTTAAAGAATTCCCTATCTGAGATCAAATTAAAGACACCAACTCAAAAGGTTAGCTGGAAAACGTGGAGCAGAGGGTGTGGTCAGTGTGGGGGATGGGGGTGGGGGGTGTCCAGAGCAGGCCGGCATGCTTGCTGGCTGTACAATCAAGGACACACGGCAGGCTCGAACCGCTCATGCAGAGACGGATGGACGGGGTGCGTTTTGCTGTGTGTCTCCCAGCAGCAACGCCATGCACCAAAGTTTCCAAACAGAAGCAAAGGAGGCAGTTGTCCATTCCATCCCACCCTCCTGGTTCCTTGCAAGCTTCTTTCTGATTACCGTCTCCAGGAAGGGGGTGGTGGTGGTGATGGCCCCTCCCAGTGCCTTCTCATCCCATCCACTTCTGGTTAGGATGACCCTAGGACCTTTAGGCTTTGAACCAGTTCAGCATCTGGCCGTGCCCATATTTTCTGGGGGTGGGGGTGGGGGTGGGAGTAGGGGTGAGAGGTCACCTCTAGCCAGACCTTCCCATCAAAAGCTCAACTCCTGATCAACCCACAAGGAGTTCCTGCATCCTATGTGGCAATGTTGCCTATTAAGGCTCCTTCCAAGGAGATCCACTTCCAGGCTCTCCTTACAAGGAGATCTACTTCCCCAGGCTCAGTGTCCTGAGAAGTCTGAGCAGGGACTATGTTAAATGGGAGATTTACTCTTACGGCCTGCCTGGGATAGTCACAAAGCCTGGCCGAGGCAGGAGAAACGCTGGACACTGGCTTCCCAATCCAGAGGTTTCTATGTAAAAGAGCTGGTGTTTTTAACAACCAGTTGCTTATTAAACACACACACAACTAAACAATATCAAGATGCAACTAAAAACCATTTACAATGTTCAAAAGTTCAAGCTTTCTAGCAATCAACAAGATGCAAAGTCAAGCAATCTTCAGATTAAAGTAACTTTTTAGATCTAATTATTTCTCTGTCTGTCTCTCCTTTAGAAAAAAAAAAATTATTTCAGTAAAATACAGCCCCCAAAGTTGTGAAACTGGAATGCCCAATCATACTCTGCTGGTAAATTTAAGCTCTTTTCAGAAAGCAGTATGTCAATTCTTAGAAAAAGCAACCATTAAAATGTTTATGACTTGTAGCCCAGTAATTTCATTCAGGAGTAGGGGGTGGGGGTGGTGGACCAGGGGAAGACTAGAAATAATTAAACCAAAAAAATGAAATTGTTGAACCAGAAAAAGAAAAATATACCCCACCCCACACCCCCGAGGGGGGACAAGCAACCGAAATGTGGGGGAAGGGAAACAGTGGTCAGTGTAAGATGTGAAAATAACAATAATTTATCAAGGAGTCATGAGGGAGGGAGGGAAAAAAGAGCTGTTACCAAGGGCTCAAATAGAAACAAAATGTTTAGAAAATGATGATGGCAACTTATGTACAAATATGTTTGATACAATTGATGCATGGAATGTTATAAGAGCTGTAAGAGCCTCAAATAAAATGGTTTAAAAGAAAAATATCAACACAAACAAACTATAAATCCAAAATACCAATACCAACACTGTCCATATAACAAAAGGTACAAATAGCTGAAAAACACCCCACCCCCACCCCCACAAAAGACTGGACACGGAATCGGTGCTACTTGCACATCCTGCAGTCCTGACACACGCTACAGCACGGATGGACCTCGGCACCACCATTCGGCGTCACACAGGGACGGATATCCCATGGATGTGAAATTTCTGAAATAGGTGAGTCGTGTGTGATCAGTGGCTACCAGGCCAAGGTGAAAGGGAAACTCTTAGGGCCCCGAGTTTTTGCTGAAAACCCAACCAAACGCCCTGCCACCGAGTCTATTCTGACTCCTGGTGACCCTCCAGGAACGGGTAGCACCGCCTCCATGGTGGCTGAAGTTCTACATCTTCATGGAAGCAGAAAGCCTCATCCTTCGCCCGTGGACTCCACCTGCTGCCCGTGTGGCTATCAGCCGAACGTACAGCTCCCTGTGCTGATAGAAAATTCAGAAATGAACACTGCTGGCGGCTGAGTACATGATCAACATGACGTCACATGGGATTTCATGGATTTGATGTCACATAGTGAATTTCACATGGAAACATGTTGAAATGGCTGTTTGGGTACATATATATTTACCACAATCAAGCATGATCATTATAGAGACTGTGTGGAAACCCACCTGTCCCTCAGCTCGTCCCTCCCATGGGCTCCTAGCCGTACCCTTCTAATGCACGGGACAGAAAATAGGATTTACTTCACAGTGATACTATCACTACCTTTGAGTGTACCAAGAGTCTCAGACGTGGATTCCTTGATTTCTCGTGGAAGCTCCCTGACGCAGATCTTATTTTTACACCCATTCCATAGGTGAGGTGCAGAGCGGTGAAGGCACCTGACCATGGCCACCAAATCTGATGATGCTTAAGACCCTCCACAGCCAGGCTCGGGTCAACTTCTCTAGTCCGGCTGTTAGCTTCTCCCTTCTCCCTGCAAAAGTGAACACACAAAACAGCGACATCAAGTCAGTTCCGACCCGTGGCACCACCACCACCACCCCCACCCACACACCCCAACACACCCCCACATGTATCAGAGCAGGGCTGTGCTCTGTAGGTTTTCAATGGCTGGGGTCTTTCAGAAGGAGCTCTTCCGGTCTGTCTTCTGCAACACCTCTGTGTGAATTTGAACTTCCACCCTTCTGGCTCATCACCGAACCCTTCATTGCGTGCACCACCCAGGGACCCCTCTCTCAGCCCTCCCAGTGTCCACACTTCCCTGCCCAGTCTTAGTAGACTCAGGAAACAAACCCACAGGAACTCATATGTATGAGAGAGAGTTTTATATAAAGGGTAAGTGTACATTAAGAAAGCATCCCTTATGAGGGCAATGAATGCACAAATGTGGTTTACACAATTGATATATGTGTGGATTGTGGTAAGAATTGTATGAGCCCCTAATAAAACGATTAAAAAAAAAAAAGGAAGCATCCCAACCCAGTGCTGTCCAAGCCCATAAGTTCAACATTAGCCCATATGTCTCACACTGACCTACAAAGTCCTCCTCCATCTCACGAAACACACGCAATGATGCCGACTGCAGGAGGAACGCCGAATCAGTACACGTGTGAGCGTCTCAGTGCTGGCACTGCGTCTCCACACGGCTGCTCCAGCACCCAGGGTTGCATCGGGGTAGGTCCATGGGGCTTCTCCTCGGGGATGTCTTACAGGAAGTCAGCCTTACCAGCTGAAACAGGGAACTGGCTAAGGCAGGTGCATCCTGGTCCGACCATCACAAAGCAAGAAAGGCGAGGCTCACCGAGCCATTTATCTCTCCATCCTTCAATTAGCCCCACATGTGTTTATCAGCCAGGTTGGCACAATAAACCTTAACTATCTCAGACCCCCAGTTCTGTCACAGCCTGTCCCCAGGCCGGCTCCTCTGAACCACTTGCTTGGCAATTGCCCTCCTCCCGAAGCCCAGCCATTTCCCAGCTAGACAGGTGTGTTTTGCCATTGTCTGTGCCTCACTTCTGGAACTGAGCTCAGCCCTGTCATGATGGTGATGACCTGGTTCCTGCATCCTCCTGCCCCCAGGAAACCCTGGGACAAGCGGGATGGGCTGTGCATGTGTCTGCCCTTGCCCCCTGCATGCCCGGCACCGTGCTTGGGCCATGGCTGTGGACAAAGGACAGACCAACAGGAAGAAGGGCATGTGCAGAGGCCAGGGACTTGGCTGGGCCCCCTGAGGCATTTGACCTCTTCTGTGGAATGGCAGCCACCGAAGAGCAGGGCCACAAGGGACCGAACTGAGAAGGTCTGCTGGTTCACAGATGCCGACATGGAGCAGACCTGGGCTCGGCTGACTCGGCACCGTCTGCAGGTTTCAGGTGGTTTGTGACCCCCCCCCTGACGCATGTGAAAGTGCTTTGAAACGCAGAGGGGAAGTCCCTGGGCGCCCTGTGAGACGCTGTAGCTGGCTCTGTTGTGGGATCACAGGGGACCGAAGGCCCCCTCCCAGAACCTGAGAGCAGCTGTGGGAGCCTCAGCCGCGGGCTGCTGGAGACAGGCAGCCTGGAGCGGCACTGGACACACAAACTGCCCCGCCGCCTCCTGGGAGGGAGGTGAGGCCACAGGAAGCCCTCCAAATGAAATCAGAGGCTGGTGTCACCGAGTGATACGGAGCATGACGCAGGCTGCCAGGCGCGCCTCAGGAAATTCAGGGACCTGACCAACTTCCCATGGCCCCAAGCGACCCTCAGTCCATCAAGGAGTCCTTCCTGCAGCAGGCAGGCAGGCAGGAGACTGGAAGTCCAGGACAGCCTGGTCCTTTCTGTGTCTCTGACACCGCGTCCCTTTCTTGGGGGCTGGGTGGAAGGAGGACTCTCTTCTTGCAGTGGGGGCCAGGGGGGACTCTCTGGCTCACCCTGGATTGAAGGTGGGCTCAGTGAGTGGGACTGCTTCTAACTCAAGCCCTCGCAGATCCTGCCTCTCCGGGTCCAGGATCCAAGGGACTCAGCGCTGGCGAGACTTAAGTGGACAGCACCTCCGCTATCGGCCACCGAGGGCTGTGTCACCTCTCCCCTCTGGATCTGTGAAATAGGAGGTGGGGGCCAGGGGGAAGCTCAGAGTCGTGATCTGCTCAGGACGCGCCTTATCCTGAGGCGTCAGAAAACAGAGGCCTGGAGCCTCCTACGAGACTCTGTAGCTCTATTCTTCTGGGCTGGCCCACAGCCAGACAACCTGGGCCCAATCCTGTCTCTGCACTGCACTTCCTGGCTGTGTGGGTTTCGACTCGTTACTTACCTTCTCCGCGCCCCAGTTTTTCATAAGAATGATCCTGTCCACTGCAAAGTACTGTAGTGAGGAGGATACAGAGAATGTGCACAGCACCCTGAAGAGGCCCTGCCTTCTTGGTCTGAGCCCCGGGAACGGGCATCCATGTCCTGGGCCAGCCTTTGTCAGGGCCTCCTGGCTGGTGCCTCTCATGAGCTCCTGGGACTAGCGGGTGGGAGGCACTTCTGCTGTGCTTCCCAGATTTTCCAGTATTTCCTTCTCCCTCCCAGAGAGATGGATGAGGAAGCCAAGACCAGGCAGGGCAGAGCTTCAGCCCTGGCCCACAGTGTGGCGAGGAGGACCCTGTGGGCTGTGACTCCCCATCGAGGATGTCCCTGATCATCCTGCTCAAGAGGCTGCTATGAATGGAAATGGCTCATCTAGGCACTCAGGAAACGCAGCTCTTCCAATATTAGTTAGTCATGGGACCCACCAAGGCCCTGGAGACAAGAAAGAAATAGAACCAAGTGCTGGTGATATCCCTCAGTGAGAGGGGAAGACCAGGGGAGCGGCGTCCCCAGGCCTGAGATGCCCAGCCCCGGTCAGATCCACAGAGGGAGGACCTGGATGCCCACAGAGGCAGGAAGGGTGGTCTCTGAGGAAGGAGAGTATAATTCCTTCCCTTCGGTGCTGTGCAGCCCGATGAGCCCACCCACAGAGCACCGCCCCATTCGACAGAGGGAAACCACCGAGGGCAGTAAGACTCCGTCAGGGCAGGCAGGGCTTTCACTGACGCCATGCATCGAAGGATTGAATATGTCTCTTCCTGCCCAGAAGAAAGATGGGACTTTGTCTCCCATAGAGTTACAGTCTTGGAAACCCACAGGACCGTTCGATCTTGTCCTCTAATGTTGCATGAGCAGTGAGGTTGGCTTTTCTTTTTTTGCCCCAACCCAAGCCTTTGTCACTCCCATCAAAGGACCTTTTTTTCTAAGGGTGCAGGGAAAGCAGGCAGGGGGAGTTGTTGCGGGGCGGGGGGGGGCAGGTAGATAGTGATTGGATGACATGATTCGGCTGAGTGATTCCTAACGGCCTTCCTTGTGATTGCCACCTTGCCGAGCATAAAAGGAGCCATTGAAGAAGCAGGAAGGGTGGTTTCACTTCCAGTAAGAGAGAAGAGCCAAGAGGGAGGGTGGCCTTTGGACCTTCAGACCCCAAACCCTGATCGCCCCTGATCCAGAAAACAGCTCGGAGGCCACAGGAGCACGGAGGTGTAGCCGCAGCAGAACCAGGAGCCAGAGCGGGAGAAAGCCAGAGCCATGAACGCCCCAGCCCCTGGAGCAAGTGAAGCTGAGAGCCTTGGGGCAGAAGGCTGACTTGTGGAGTAGGGTGCCTCTGGGCACTTAATTGAGGGAGCTAAGTTGGCTAGCTCACCGAGCTGGGGCCGAGTGCCACCAAACTGAGACTTGTGGTGTAGAAGCATGCCCTCTGGGCATCTATGGGGATACCTCCAGAAGCATGCCCTCTGGGCATCTATGGGGGTACCTCAAAGAGCTTTGTAAGGTTGGCTCAGCAGGTCAGAGGCCAGGCTGAGACTCACAGAGTAACCAACCTGCCTATGAGCACAGCAGAGAAGAAGCTGTCTTGACTGAACAGCTGTCTCCTGCCCATTTCTCACCTATTCACTTTCCCAGTGAACCCCATAAGCCGGAGTATCATCTGTGAACCCTGTGTGACCACTGCAATGGCCGCTGTAATTCTCAAACCCAGCTGAGAAGTAAAGAGTGCTGTCAGGGGAGGCAGAGCAACCGTCTCGCTCGCTCGCTCAGTGGCTATCTCAGGTAGTTGGGTAACCTCAATTGCAAAATAAACGAAGAAAAGGTGCCTGGCCCTAGTCTTGGCCTTTTTCTTGCATGATTTCATTGGATCCTCACACTAGCCCTGCAAACTGACCATCGTATTTTGAAGATTCATAGGAAAAATGATGCGCTGAGAAGTGTCTGCCCAAGCCACTCGGTAACTTCTAGAGCCACAGTTCAGTCCGTGAGGCCCATGATGCTGGGGTAGGCTTCTTCCCTCCTAAAGTGATGTTTACCCTTACTGTAACCTGCGCCCCCCAACCCTATGGTCCCGTTGACTCAGAGCCCCCACCACCCCGTACCAAGACCTGCTCTTGGCCCCACAGAGCTGTCAGCTATAAAGGGGCTTGCTCTCAGGGGACTGCTCTTGCCCTTCTTGTTGGCAATGTCCTTCCACCTCAAGGGGCTGGATCTCTGACGACTAGGATCGTCACTAATCTCACACAAGCCCTAGAGGTCTTCAAATCCTGGCTCAGGATCCTGGAAAAGCTGAGAACATGGAATTCAGACAAGGCTTGATCAAGCTCCACAGATGGGCCTGCTTTCTACCTGAAATCCTACCATGAGTCACTCCTTTGGTCAAGGCACCGCAGCCCAGTGAAAATGTCAATCATTTCTGGAGGAAACTAGTTAGTGAGTCACTGACGTTTCCCACGGCCCCATCAGGCTGCTTTCCCAGAAGAACCTTGCCAGAGAACAAGGCCAGAAGGTTCTAGAAGCCAGGTGGGGTCCCCCGCTCACTTGATGGTCAGTGAGGAAGTTGCAGAGCTCTTAGAGCCAGATGTGAGCCCCTCACCTAAGCCAATAAGCCCACCCCAACAAGCGTCCCCTGTCGCAGTCCCAACTCTGCTCCTGGAGCCTCCAGGCTTGTTCTGCCCCAGGGCCTTTGCACTTGTGGGTTCCTTTGCCTAAAAGCCTGTCCCCTCAACTCCTCACCACGATGCCCCTCTGGGGAACTTTTGGGGGAGGCATATATCCATTCCCTTGGCTGTGGTGGTGGTTGTACATAGGTCAAAACTTATCAAATTGTATACTTTAAATATGCAAGATTTCCTATGTACCAGTGAGACCTCAATAAAGCTGTGAATGATTTTGTTTTTATTGGCCTTCCTTCCTACCCTGCAAGTCTAGGCTCAGACGAAACCTCAAAGAGGCCTTCCCTGACTGCCCTCCCTCCCCGCAAAACTCACACTGCCGCTCTGTTACCTCAGCCTGCTCCTCCCCTTTGAGGGCCACTCTGCCATCAGAAACGGCTGCCTGTCCCCACCAGGATGAAGCTCCCCGGAGCTGGAACCGTGTCTGTCTTGGCCGCTCTGCTCACCAGACGACCAAGGACAGACAGCAAATGGCAGACATCGGACCTGTCCCCTCTGTGCCCCCAGGGGCGCAGAGCAGGAGTTTAGACGTGGCTCCGAAAGCGAAAACCGGAACAGAGCTGTCGGAGCCAAGCTGGCGTCCCACACCGCCTGCCACCCTGGACACTGCACAGGGGGCTGAGCTCCCGACGCCTGTTCCTGGCAGCTGCTCCACGGTGTGTGGGGTTCACCGGACACGCCCTCCGGGCTTTCCCCCATCAGTCCCTGGGCTCCGAAGGACAAGGGTCAGCCAGCCCACACTGGGGCCTTCGCTCCTTCCGCACAAGCAGGGAGGACTGTGGCCTGGCCTGGGGCTCCCCTGGCGCGGACAGCCTGGGCTCTGGGATGCTGAGGTGTGGCCCCCACTCAGACTGTTGTCACCTCTGAGAAAGACTCTGACATTTCCCCCAAGGCCACAGCGAGGTATGATTAATACCTGACGTGATTTAACACGACCCTCTGCTAGGTCCAGCGAGGTATGATTAATACCTGACATGATCTAACACAACCCTCTGCTAGGTCCAACATTAGCACTATCTCAGTGGCCCTGTGAGCGAGGTCGCTCTCACCCCCACCCCTGTCTCCATCCTACCGGGAGGAGACCCGGGGCCCAGGTAGAGCCTCTTGTTTCCCTCTCACCTGGGCATCCGAGATCAGGTGTTCAAGCCCAGCAGCCCTGGAGCCCAGCAGAGGCGACCTGGGGAAGCATTTCCAGCACGAACCTCTGGTTTGCTCTGGTGTCCCAGAGGGGGGGAGCGGAGGGGAGCTCCGAGAGTGAGTTCCAGCCTCCACTGGACAGTCCCTGCTCCAGGGATTTGCATTGCCGCCTTCCTCTGACCTGGGGCCAAAGTCAGGCAGCAAGTTAGTGCAGGGCCAGCCACTCAGCTCCCTGCAGACACGGCTACTCTAGGGTCACAGATTCAGGGCAGGTGGGGTGAATGAGGGAGGGTGTGGGCAGAGGGGCTACTTGGCTGTGACTACAGAGACTGATAAAATATCAGTGGTCCGGGGAGCAGTCAGCTGACTAATGACATGCCCCTACAAGCACATCCACACCCATAGGTCCACAAGGACATGCATACACATGCACATACACACACCTGTGCAAGCACACACACACCTCCCAGTCTCAGCACCTGCCACCCCAAATACCCAGGATGATTTGTCCACCCACCCGGGAAACGGTCCAGGCTGTCTGCCCCCCAAACAGTCTTGGAAAAGTAAAGACTGTGGCAAGAATCAGAAATGGGATGTTCTCTGCCCAAGCCCACTTCTGGGGCCTAAGTACTGGCATCCCTCCCCCTTCATGCTTGGGAACAACGAGAGACGTCACCCCCCCAACTTGGCCTAAACCAGAGACAGAGCCTTTCTGAACCAGAGCCTTCCACGTAGCCAACACTGCTGGTCCAAGTGGACAGCTACTGCTACGGCCTCACCTGCTGCTCAGGGGACCAGACCCAAGGTCTCCAGACCAGTGAGGTCACAGGAAGGCGAGCTGGGTGCCCTGTGGGACTGGGCGCCTGCATGGAACCAACCTTTGCTGCGCCATCGAGCAGACCTGCAGTCACGAGACTGGGTGACAGGGACACTTCCACTTGCTTAGGGAGGAATTGCAGCGCTGTGGTTCATTCACCCGGCAAGCACTTACGACACGCCTATGGGTGCTAGGCCCTGGGATGTGCAGCTCAGCAAACAGCCTAGCAGCCCTGCCCTGTGAAGTCCCCCACCACCACCACCGCCCCCCCCCCCAGAGGGGGGAGGGGGCAGACAGGCAGTAAGTAACGTAAGTGAGAACACGATGCGGTGTCTTGGGAAAGTGTTGAGCCAAAGTCCAGGTCACCGACGTATGAGCACAACTTACACACGCGGTCAGGAGGTGACCCTGAGCTTCACTCACACCTCGGTGGAGTCACACCTCAGTGGAGTCACACCTCGGTCAGCTTCACAGGGCCCTGGCCTGTGGCCAGCAGCTCACCTGGCAGAGTTAGCACAGGGCTTGTGTACAAGAAGCCCTTTTGTGCTGCAGTTTCAGGGAATGGTTCCCAAGCCCCAGGGGCAGTCATAGAAGAGGGGTGACCGGGTGTCACACAGGACACCCCTGTGCCGAGCAGAGACGGAAGGGAGCTCTCTGATTAGAGAGGAGATGCCCAGCTTCCCAGCATCAAATCCGTTCATTCTGGTGTGAATTGGCCTCCCTACCCGATATACAGGAGGTGGGGGCAGCCCCCGGCACAGCGAGGTGGGTGTGGGCTCAGCAGTGCTGCTCCGGAGAGGAGGAGGTAAAAGCTGGGGCTGAGATGGTCAGTAGGCATGTCAGGACTGTGACATAAGCATGTCAGTAGGCATGTCAGGACTGAGTGACCCTGAGGCCACTGGGGTGGTTGGAGCAGAGGAGGGACGTGGCCTACTTAGGCTTTGATGGGCTCCCTCTGATGGCAGGTTTGGGGGAAGAGGGAGAGATGGTAGAAGTGGGGTGGCCAGGTACGGGGCTCCTGCAGCTTCCAGGAGAGAGGCCCCAGAGGCACCCGTGGAAGAGCTGGGCAGGGGCCAAGGTCTGAATGAATTCTGAAACTAGAACTTGCTGATCTGGATGTGGAGGGGAGGCATCACGGGGTTTGGCCTGGGACCCAGGAAGGATGGAGTTGCCAAGAAGGACAGATGTATACGGAAGCACATCTTGAGGATCCCTCAACCAGATGGCAGCAGCATGGTTAAGCAATCAGCATGGACTTCCCGGAGGAGGCAACCTTGAGCTGAGGGCTAGCGGAAGAGCTGGAGAAAAGACTAGACAGCGGTTCTCAACCTGTGGATCGGGATCCCTTTGGGGGTCGAACAACCCTTTCACAGGGGTCGCCCAAGTCATCACAGTAGCAAAAGGACCGTGATGGAGTAGCAACGAAAAGAATGTTATGGTTGGGGGTCACCACCACAGGAGGGGCTGGATGCAAGGGTCGTAGCCTGAGGAAGGTTGAGAACCTCTGCTCTAGAGCCAGTCGAGCAAGGGGCTGCTGGGAAGACCTCACCGAGGACAGTCGTGGGGAACTTCCAGTGACCCCAGGGGCCTCTGAGGCCTGCTGTGGCCGAGGGACCGAGGGCTCCTGATGAGGCCAGGGGTGGGTAGGCCCCTGGTCCAGGCTGCTTACTTAGCTCCAACCACGAAGGAGGCTCAGCCTGAGAGCAGCCCAATCAGACCGAGAAAGGGAGCCGGCGAGAAATAACTGCCGGTGAGTCATCTCAAACCTGCCTCGTAGCCCCAGCCGGCTTCCCGGGAGGGGCCCTGATTTCAGAATGACCAGGTCAAGCGGA